AGGTAGTGTGTAATGCTGCCTCGTTTTTGGTAATGCCTGGTACTTCGGTCTCCCTCTGCATGATTTGAGGAATACATTCATTTCTGTAAGTTATGTGTTCTGTATGTCATGTTATTTTTAAGTTATATATTCAGAAGTAAACTAGCATCTGGCTTAGCTGGGTTTTACTTCCAAGTAAAATTTAAAGACTAGAGGTTATGAGATTACAGTTCTAAAAGTTCTCAGATGTAATAGAGAGCGTTGTTTCAAATTCAGATCAGATTTACTTTTTGTACTGCAGCTTCAGAGACTGTATTTTTGTTTTATCCAGCATGACCAAATGGGGCCAGATCATAAATATTATTATAACAAGTGAGAACTTCTAAAACAACCATTGGCAGCTGTAGTCTCAGAGACAAGGGTAATTTTAAATTTATTTTTTTTTTGCCTGTATACGGCAAGATGTGGAGATGATCACATCTGCCGTATATTCAGATGAAGTTAAGCAAGAACTGAGGACTCTTCCAGGATGCAATCCTTAATTGAATCAACTTGTTCAGCTCTAATTGGGCTGAATGCCAATAGCTCTTAGGGCCAAGAGGGGTAAGTGTTCTTCTATAATGTAATCCAGATTTTTAATGTGGCAGAACTTTACTTTTACTCATGGAAGGACTTTTAGCCTGTAAAATTATGCCCTGGCCTTCAATCTAGCTATTCTCTATCCACTGAGTGAGGGGATAGATTAAAATTGCTTCACAGATGTATTCATTTACCTGCTATGCAATAAGAGAAGTCTGCTATCCATTCAGAGTTTGAGCTTGGTAGCAGTACTATGATTCAGAAAATACTTCTCTATCTGACTGGCCCTGTCCTGGTTACAGGATGAAGTGTGTAAATCCACATTTTTTTTCATGCTGTTTAACTCTCAGGACACTTTGAAATAAAAAATGGCTCATTGTGATAGTGTTTGAGAAAAGCATACTCGTGATAAACTTGGGCTGACTTTATTGTTACATTAGCAATACACTGCAAATTGGTTTGGTTTCCAGTCTGGTAGACCAGTTTGTATATAAGAAGTAGCTAGAATAGTGATTGTATAAGCTCTCTATTATGCTCCAGAGTGCTGATTGCACTGCTCTGTCTTGCCAAAAGCACTCTTGAATGATGAAGTGCATCCTAGAAACTGCTGTTCTGCTATTTCTCCTACTACACTCTAAGGCCTTTCATCTCCCTCAAAAGCATAGAATCGTCACAGGGATCACCTGAGAAACAAAGTGATGCAAGGCCTTTCTCTGACTGCTGCCATCCTCCTCTTGTTCAGAGGGTTCCATTCAGTGTGGGAGAGGATTAATTCAATAGCCACATGCAGTGGTTTGAGACTTGGTGGAAAAATTGATTTAAAAATATGCATCTAGTTCCTTGGTGAGTGGGAAGAGAAATAAAGTGTGTAGCTATTGCTAGAAGCTTTCACCAAACAGTGCATGGGGGATGTTGCCTTCTGCTTGCGACAGATCCAGTGTCAGAAGGAGCTTTGGCTGCGCTGAGTGAGCCCTTTCTGTGAACTTGGTTGTCAGCCCTGTGGGAAAGGCTCTCCTATGCACCAGGCAGTGTAAAAATGCATGAGAAACAGCTCGAAAATATCCCTCTGTTCTCAGTAATGCCAAAGTTAACAGGCTCTGCAGTGACTTCAGTGACTGCTATGGCGTGTACCTCGTAATGCAACATCCATCTGTTCTCAGTGTAATGTGTTAAAGAAGTTACAACAGGAATATCAAGAGTTGAAGGAACCATTCAGGGAGGTAAAGGCAACCATACTGTAGATGCTAAGACCACAAAAGTCTTTGAGCTTTCATTTTTTCCCACCCCTACAGTAAAGATCCTGAAGTTAGATTTGTTTTGACATTTTTCTCCCAGCAGTGTGATGTGAAATAGCAACATCTGTCCTTGCAGAGCTGTTTTCTGCAGTCAAGAAAAGAAGAAAAATCTGCCTGGAACTAGAGTTGAAGGACTCAAATGCATTTTAGCAGCCTAACTGAAAGATTTCAACACAGAATACCAAAGTCTTCCCTAAGTGTCTATGTGCCTGCAGATGAAAGTGCTTGAGGAGTGTACAGATGTGATGTCGAGTGTTAAAAGCCACACTGATATTGAGATAACAGTGAGCCAATCGCTGCCTCTAAATCTATTGAAAAGCCTGGTGGGCTCTTTACTTCATGTCATGTGTTCTTGGTGGCATGGATTTCAGCCGTGTCTCCTTTTACTCACTTCTTTTACTCACTTAGCTGGGCTGAGGAAGTTCTAAGTTTTGGTCTCTGTTTTCAGGACCATTTTATAGTAAGTAGCCAAAAGTAAGAAATTATTATGAAAAGAGGAAGCAGAACCTGATACTCTGCTGTCCTTTCCTGTCAGTTAAATCCTGTAGTCATCACACTGTAGAACTGGACTATTTTTTCTTCCCCTGCTTGCTCCTCTGCTTCCATAATTTTTTTTCTTTCCTGTTTGCCTTAAGATCTGGCTTATCAGGTAGAGGACATAATGCCCACACAGACATGCTTTAGTGAGTAGACTGACTGGTGCACTCCCCTATAGAAGGCAAACATGACTGGGACAAATATTTCTGCTTTCTGTATTTACCTAGGGTAGCATATACTTATTGCCAGTGCTCAACTTTGGCTTCTTAGAAATTTCAGCTTACTGGCTGTTTCAGGTAACCTCCCTGAGACATTTAACTCTGCCTCTTCTGATAGGTTTTCAGCCTATGTACAGAACACTGAAACAATTTCACACCATGCACTGGGTGCTTCAGTCTTTTCTTTTGTTCTTTGTAGTGAAGGGACAGAAGATTGGAAGACCCAAGATGACCTTGAAACTGTTGGATGGCATTGAGACTAATATTGGAAAAGTACCATCAGAGTATATTTATCTGAATGAAAAGGTTTAATTTTTACTTGGTCTATTTGCTGGAGATAACTAGAAACAGACTGAAATAACTTAAGTTCTAATGTTTAAACACTGATGTGCATATTCTTTAAAGAATAAGCCCCGGACTTCCCTTTGCAATCCTTATTTCAAGGAAATCACTCTTAGCGGTATTGATGTGGTTTGGCGTCAGCAGCCAGCTGGGTAGCACTCTCCATTTCTTTCACTTCAACTTTTCTTCAACATGTGGAGAAATAATTTGAAGGATTTAGGGGAGCTGGGGGGATGTTAGCTTCTGCTGCTATTTTTTTATTTTTATTCTTAAAAGCTTAAAATGCGTGAGTAGCCACTTTTTGGGAACATTGCTGTTGCTAGAAATTTCATTGTGGAGGAGGAGGAAATAGCTCAGCTTGGAAAGATCTTAGTCATTTAATAGGAGCAGGGAGGAAACAGCAGAAGGAAGGATATAGCTGAGTAGAACAAAAGCAACTTACCTTTTGGTGAACAGGGGGGTCCTGGGGAAAAATTGGGGTACCATGGTATCTTGACTTGTTGGTATGAGAGCGTTTTTAGGGCCTTGGATCCTATCTTCTCTGGCTGAGCCTGCTTCATAACACTGGAGACCAAAACCTAATTTTTGTGATTAAATCTTCTAGGCTGCCTAGAGAATTTAATTTAGTTTAAACTCTTCTGGTAAAAATTGCTAGGAATTTCCACCCTTTCCCACATATGTGTCATCAGCAAATGGCAGGCATTAGATCTAAATCCTAAACTGATCCACTGCAAGATCCATTGACTTGCATTTCTGGTTTTTCTAACCCATACAATGGTGATGTAGTTTTAAAGCATTAGCTAAAAAATCACTTCCATCAGCCTCCAGCAGCTTTAACTTCCATAGGTGTTTCCCTTTGTTTCTTAAATGCCAGTCCATCACAAATGGATACATACTTTGCTGCTGTACCTCAACAAATCTGAAACGCTTCCTTATTCTTTTCAGAATGGGAAAAGCCGTTTTAGGTTGGAGGGGCAAGTGCTTGGGTAGGGTGTTGTGCTGAGACCCTTGGACTCTGTGCTGAGCCTCACAGTTTACCTCCCTTACTGTCACTATTGGCTAAAGGAGAAACTAACAAGGTCCATTAAATTTCAGTCTTGCACTGAAAGCTTATCAGTTCTAAACAATCATTCTTTTATCAGAAATTAATTAACTGGAACTTCATTAGTTTGCCTTTTACCAGTAAAGATCTCTAGCCCTACACCTGATGATAACGTACCCTTTTATGTCTAGGTCAAAATTCCCATTCTATGCATGCATGATTTCTTTTCTCCATGACACAGTAGGATTTTTAGCCTAGTAGCAGTTGAAGAAAGAAAGGGCTCATAATGATATATCAGAATAAGTTACTACCTCAGAAACTTATCTTTTTGGTTTAAGATGACAGCAGAAAGAGTGCTAACTGTGGAGATGCTTGGTGGAGCATTACATAAGTAATTGATATATAAATTAAATGGAAGCCTGCAGAAATCTGAGAGGAACTTCATTTGCACAGGATACTGTCACATGTAACATCCAGTATGAGATTATATACTAATCCTTTAATTAAAGAGTTAAGAGTTAAAGAATTAAACATGTAAATATCAGGAATAAGTAGTATTAGATGCTGTAGTTACTAAACCTTGACTTGATTCCTTTGCTGTACAGAAAAGTATGTTTTCTGTACGTACATGTGTCATGTAGCACTTGGGAGAAGAAACCAATTTTCTTTCTGGTCACCTGCCTGATAAAGTCTTGCAGTGTTATCTGGAGTATTTTTAAAACATAAATACTTAAGTAATATTTACTAAGCACTTTTCCTTTGTTTCAACAACTGTCAATCACTTTTGAGAGCTGTATAAAAATAAATCGGGGCTTTTTGCACCATGTTTTTTTATACATTACAAAGTTCCTGGAATCTTTGAACACCCTGTCTGTGTTACATTCTTAAGTGCTGAACCACATTAGTTGTTTGGAAAGCTTGTTTAAGGAAACAAGCTTTGCTTCTTGGTACTCATTCCTTAAAGTAAAATCCGAGTTTTAAACTGTTTTTAATTATTCTAAATTGCAGAATGATGGCCTCTCAGGAGCAGGTCTGGCCAGTCCCAATGAAGGCAATTGGAGCACAAAACCTTCTGACAATGCCTGGAGGAGTCACCAAGTCAGGATATCTTCATAAAAAAGGAGGCACCCAGCTGCAGATCCTGAAGTGTAAGTTGAATGAGGTATTAACTAAATTAAATGTTTTCAATGCTTGCCTCTGGGGCCAGTAACAGATTTCATGTTAGCAGACTGTTGAAGCTGTTTTTCCACTTTGTATTGGAATACAATTTTACTGGAATATATGTATGAAATACTCATATTGAAAGATTTTCCTTTAATTGTTTTGCAACTGTAGATCTTAATAAATGTTGTGGTTGATTTTATTTTGCTTGTTTAGTTCTCTTGTCAAGTCCTTCACAAGTAAGATTTTCAAGAAAAACAGATTCCCAGGATATGTATCAATTTCAAATACTCTTTTTCTGAAAGAAATTAGTACTCAGCTTTTTTTTTCCAGTTGGTTATTCTGTACTGGAAAAAATATCCCCGTCTCCTACTGCTGTTGTGAAATGGAAATTTTCTCACTGCCAACATTGGGCTGTATTTAATAACAGTAATTTCTTCTGAAATCAGAGTCTATTTACATGGAAAAAAGTTCAGATTTTGGGTTTATTTATGTGCTATTCATTTGGTATCCCTGTTTATACTGAAACTATACTTACAGATAATATATATAATAGATTTAACTGTATTAAGGACAATGATTACTGCTGTTGACAAAGGAAGGAGTCTTGGCCTCTTTCAAAAAGAGAAAACAGGATATAATTTTATTGACAGGATTATGTAGCTGAGGTGAAAGAAGAGAGGGAGATAATGCTTTTGGGATGGATGTAAATATGCATTTGTATCCTGTAGCTGCCTTCCTGCTATTGCTTACTCCATTAATAAAGGAGCACAGGTGGAGGTCAGGCCTGCAGTCTCTGAGGCTTCTTTTGTTTTCAGATCAGCTGCCTCTCATGTGAGGTAATCAAATATTACCCTTAGTCTTGAAACTCTGCAAATGGACAGTGTCACTGTGTGACTGATCTTCCACGAGCTGTCACTGAACCAGTGTGTGCTCATTTACAGTGATACATATGATTACTAAAATCTTAAACAATAATTCTACATGTGCTAAGAGGTTCTAGTTGTTCTGCTTCCCATGGATTTATACTTAGCTCACTTTTTATCTTTTCAGGGCCACTGAGATTTGTGATTATTCATGAGGGATGTATCTACTATTTTAAGAGCAGCACATCTGCATCTCCCCAGGGTGCATTTTCTTTGAAAGGTTACAACAGGTAAGTGCCAAGGAAGCTGTTTAACACACAAGCTCCTTTTACTTAATGCTAGGGGCTATGGGTTGCATTTCTAGTGAAGTTAAACACAGCTACATCTGTTGTTTGGGTTAAGCATTGATCTCCAATGGAATACATTCCAAGAAATGTATTCCTTTCAAATTATATGTATGACATTTTCTGTGCTTGGCAAGTGGCTAGCCTTCCTCTTCTGTAATTTAACCAGTAAATCTGTTTGAATTGCAATGGCTTTACTCCTGATTAATGCACACTGCATGTGCAGATGGATGTGGATTCTTTCAGACAAACCATCTTTGTTCTGTGGAGACCAGAAAGGAATCGAATGAGAGAATTTATGGAGTTACTGGTTCAGCAACTGTAGTTAGTGTCAAAACTGTATCAGCTAAAGAGTGAATGTGCAAAATATATGACTCATTTCTCTACAGGTTTTTAATCTTAATATTTACTTTGCAAGTTGAAGACAGAAATATGTGGCTCTCAAGTTAGCCAGTACCATCAGAATCCGAATGCAGCCTGAGGTCTACTAATACAAGTCCAACCTAACTTCCCTAACTTTAGGGAATTGCTTTTGATGTTGTTGCCAAGAAAGCTTTAATGAGAAAGAGGGAATGTAGAGAAATATCACTGTATTGATCCTAACCACTGCAATTTTATTGTATTTGTGCATCTTGTACTGTAGAACATTTTCAGACTTGTGGAATAAGGAATTGCCTTTTCTTAAATTCAGAGCTTTTCTAACAGCACACAATGGCATATTTTTAAGGGAATGCACTTGTAAACACTGTAGCTAGTTAAAAATTCAAGATTAATTTGTAGAAGACACCCACACTGTAATTTTGTCATGACACCAGCTTCTGCTGCCACATGAATGTGAACAATACTATGGAATCTGTAAATGCTAAAGAGAGTTTTTATGTATCTTCGTTCTAGAAGCCTTGTAGAGACCTTGGTTGGAATAGGAACCAGGTGTTGATTTAGTATAAGGCACAGACAGACATTACTGGGAAAGAATTTGAACTGAAAGAATTGTTAGACTGAGAAGTTGCATAAGGGGTTTTTAATTTTTTTTTTCCCCAAGGAGTCCCAAATGAAGAAATTCCTTACACACACAAAAAAGAAAGCAGTTATGCTTATTTTGAAATAATAAAAAACATGCAAGAAAGTGCTTATAAGAGAAATGAAGTTCCCCTTTATTATTAGTTTTTCCTTATTTTTATGGGAAGGATGTTTTGTTTTCTCCTCTGAAATAGCAACTTCTCAAAATAAGGGCCACAAGCACCCTGAGTACCTCTTGCAATGTGTAATTATGAATTAATGTGATTCATTAACTCTTGAACTGGTCAAAGCAGCTGTTCATAAAAGTCTGGCTGGTGGATTAACAAGTGCTCTTCCTTTTGCATTGTCCCTTCAACCACAATAATGGAGAAGTACGGCAAATGCACTTGTGGGGATTTCTGTGGTGATATTCTGGGCTTGGGGGTTTTCATAAGGAAAAACTGGCCAGTAAAACTGCTTTCTGTCAGTCTTTATGACCTGCATAGCAGCATTAACTATAGATTAAGGCGTTCTTGTATTGGTTGTTCTGTTTCTCAGGGTTATGCGGGCAGCTGAGGAAACAACATCAAGCAATGTCTTTCCTTTCAAGTTAGTTCACATAAGCAAGAAACACAGGACGTGGTTTTTTTCAGCTTCTTCTGAAGATGAAAGAAAGGTAACTTTCTTCTTTTGCAATAGAATTTTCCTTGAAGCAAAAAGCGAATCTTGGACTTCCCTAAAATCTAAATTAACTGGAAATGCAGCTGTCACTGAAATTTGTATAGCTAGTTCCTTGGGCTGCTCTGAAAATCATGTCTGAAGTTCTAACTATTAAGTTAGTGTTAATTCAACTTGTAATTTAAGGAATGGCTGTGACATTGGTTGGCATGGGTTTCTCCATATTTCATAAATACTCCGTATTTAATTTTTACCATGGAAAAATAATATGTTAAGCCTTTGATAAATTCTGAAAATTGTTCAGTGAAATCTCTCACCTGTAAACATGTTCTGAATAGATATCTGGCTTTAGGAATAAAAGCCTGAAATTTGCAAACTGAAAATTTAATACTTCAGTATGTTCCTACAGCATTTTAGGTAGTCAAAATATTTGACTGCTGAATCTTTTCAACAAAAAGTCATAGATAAATACTGTTTCAATGTATATTCCCTGCACACTTAGTCTGTTCTTACAGAGGACAAGATAGATCTGCATTTAATGATTAAAAGATTGATGTGTTCAATTTGGTTTTTTCTTTTTGTTTAGAATTGGATGCTATCCTTGAGAAGGGAAATTGATCACTACCATGAGAAGAAAGAAACAGTAACAGAATTCAGGTATAAACCCTAATTCTTTATTAGCTTTTTATCCCTTTTGCACTTGCTCTTTACAGTGGTGTTTTAGGCTTTTTGCACCTACAAGTAACTTCCTGTTAAATAAGAACAGGTGCAGTAAGACCCAAGAAGAAAATCCCTTCCCAATTTATACTTTAAATAATATGAAGAAAATCACACATCTTTAAACAAAGAGCACTTTCAATGTCAGTTTTGTTAAAAGAAATTAAATCTATTAAAATACAGCAGCAACATATCTGACAGTTAATTGGGAAATAGGAACAGATTGCTTCTGTTTTTCCAGCATTCCTTTCCAGTGCTGCAGTCCTGCTAAACAGAAGTAACTCTCTCTTTTCTTTTGCAGTGACTCTGGCTCTGATGCAGACAGTTTCTATGGCTCAGTAGAACGTCCCATTGATATCAAGTATACCCATCATTCAGCAGATAATGAAGGTGACAAATTTAGACACTAAATAAGATAGATAAATAAGGCTTCTTCATTGCATTATTTCTTCTGAATTCTGCAGGAATTATTCCTGTAGCTTAAGTAAACTGACCCAGTTTGTAACTGTTGTTTTTTTACAAGTTGTATCTCTGTTGTAGTTTTAAATCAGCAACTGGTATTCTGAGCCATTAACTGCTGGTACAAATAAACTAAAGAATTTCAGATCCTTTGAGGAGGTTGATTAAAAGTGAGGACATGATAGCCTGGCATTCACAGCATATTTCAGCAACTGAGTTCCTAGTCAAGAAATATGTTTGTGAAGACCAACAAGAGAAACCTTGCCTTGAGGTTCAGTAGAGATGCTTTTCTATGCCTTTCCCCATCTGCCCTTTCAGATTTCTCAGGCAATGTTGATGGGAGCAAGTACTCTCATTTCCTGAAAGGAAATTCCTGACTGTTCTTCCTGACTGGGACGAAAAGGCAGGAATGGGTCTTGTTAGGAAATCCGGTTCCATTGCTGCAAGCAGAGATGAGAACAGACTCATCAGCATTTCATGTGGGGTTGTTGATAGTCCTTCTGATTTTATGGGAGGGGAGGGTTGTATGCAAGATGAATGATAAGAGCCCTAGTAGGAGTTTAAATTAGGAAAATTAGAATGGCTGATTTTTATCAGATATCCTTACCCTTTTTTAGGGCATTCCTCTGCATATTGTCCTTCAGGCTCCTCTTATAATCAATGATGAGAAATTACTGCCTAGAAGTAACATGTCTTTTGTGGCTTGGTTATTCTGATTTATAGTTAAAGGCAACATTGAAACCACTTAAGCCATTTGTTGTGATGCTTTTTTTTTTTATTGGCAGAACAAGGCAAAAGAATTAAAATAGTTTTATAGATCACTAAGCTTTTTTAATCTTCCATATGGCAAAATCATATTTTTTTTCTGTGGTAGGGTTGAATTTTGGGGGATATATTTTTTTCCAAGTGCTTTTTTCAATGCATCCATGTAGTTGTGTCTCTGTAACTGATTTGAACTTCTCTCAGGAAGGCTGAAACACTAGAAAGTATCACCAAAAATATATATTTTTTAACTTGGTAAGTTGAAAAAACAAATTTAATGTGCAGCATACTTTATCTGCCTCTATTCTAAGTGATGGCTTTTTTAATTGTCAAAAATTTAAGGAAACACCTAGATAGCAGAGAGGTGGATCAAAACTATTACATTTTTTCACCTCTTTTGAAAAAATACCTGAAAAATATTTGTTTTAAAGAGCTCTAAGTACTTGATATCCTTTCTTAGGTTTCTTAGGTTCCAAGAGTATTTATCAGAGTCTGACACACTGATTTTTATGTGCAGATTATGACCAGGAGGAAGAGGATGAGTCTTATTTGCAGCCGGATACTTCTGACATAGTGAAAGATGGTATGTGGTTTCTTTGATTCTCCTCACAAAAGGCCCCATGAAAGGCCCCCAGTGAAGGCACTATTCATGTGGAATGCCAGGTTATTATTTTGTGTTGGTTATTACTATTCCAACTGGCAAAGCAACTGAAGTAATGTAGAGGTATCTAATCTTGAGAGGTATTTAGGGTCAGAAGTTTGTAATAACAGCAGTAACTGTTTACAGAAAGCATTACAAGCCTTTGGGGGTGTGTTTTCTTGCCAGCCTCCTGCCTGGGATGGCTGGTATCTGGTCATCAGTCTGGAGCAGCAGTAATGCTTTTAAGGAAAAAACAAACTACAAAGTGAAAAGTCTTTGCTAAGTCATCATAAGCCATGCCTGAAGAAAATTATCAGGAGTTTATTAACAATAACATTCAGAATTGTGCTGAAAATTAAATGCTTATCAGCATGTTGAATACTATCTGACCCGATGCCAGTGAAATATCTTGGATCACACAGAAAATTGATTTGAGAAGTCTCTTTTGATGACATACTGCATTCTCCCTCAGTGTGTCAAGTTTTTTTGGTTTTCTTTCTGTAGATATGGTCCTGCCCCCTGCATACCCACCTCCGCCCATTCCTCACGTCAGGAAATCTCCCTACTCAGAAGCAAGGGCACATTCCTACTCTGGCAAACCAACTGCACCAGTACCACCACCACCTCCTAAGAGAAGCTTACCTGAAATCAAACTAGAGCCACCCCCTGTGCCCCCTTTACCTGTGTTCAAAAAGTCTGCAAGTGCCAAAGAGTCTCACCCAGTGCCTGCAGAGCCTCTGCCTCCAGCCCAAGTCCTTGCTCCTGCAGAAGCATGCGAGAAGCTGAAAAGCTTAAACCTTTCCCCGCGGACTCCTCCTCCTCTTCCAGGCAATAAACCCAAGTTGTCACAGCTTGCTGAAAAGCTAGCAGAGCCCAAAGTGTCAAGGGAACATTGTAAACCTGGACTGTTCGTGCCACCAGTGCTTCCAAAGCCACCTGTGCCAAGCCACCAGCCCCCTGCGGTCAAGCCTAGAACAGAGAAATCTTTATGTCCCCAGTTACAGTAAGTATGAAAACACAATGCACTCTTGTTCTTCAGTCACTTACTAGTTAACAAGTTTAGACATAGTCAGAATCATACCAACATCTTTGTCTCTTCCCTGCACCATCCCTCTCTGTGTTGTGCTTTTTTTTGCCTGTTATTTGAAAATCTGCAGTGAATCTAGCTGATCTGGTTGGGCCTGTTTTGTGCAGGAGCTTGGACTAAATCATCTCCCTTACACAAATTAATCTGTGATTATCCAAATTAATCTGCAAGTACTGCCTCCGGCTCTGAGGCCCCCAAAATAGCAAAGATGTTGCCCTGTTGAAACTGGTCCAGAGGAGGCTGCTGAGTTGATCCAAGGGCTGGAGCACCCCTCCTACGAGGACAAGTTCAATCCCAAAAGACTTGGGATTGTTCAGCCTGGAGAAGAGAAGGCTTCAGGGAAACCTTTAGAACATCTTCCAGTACCTGAAAGAGCTGCAAAAGAGCTGGAGAGGGACTTTTGACACGGGCATGGAGTGATATGACAAGGGAGAATGGCTTTAAAAAAAAAGATGGGACGTGTAAATTCAGATTAGATATTGGGAATAAATTATTTACTGGGAGGGTGGTGAGGCACTGGCACAGGTTGCCACATAAACTGTGGATGCCCCATCCCTGGAAGGGCCACATTGGATGGAGCTCCAGGCAACCTGGTCTAGTGAAAGGTATCCCTGGCCATGGCAGGAGGGTTGGAATGAGATGGTCTTTAAGGTCCCTTTCACCCTAAACCATTCTAGGATTCCACAATTTGGGGGCTGAACTGAGACTTCACTTCTAGTTTTGCTCTTCCTTCAGTGTTTTGTGTATATTTGTTCTGCTTTCCTGATGAGATATCCTTCAGTTTTCATTCTGTTTCTGCCAGGAGATCACCACCAGATGGACAGAGTTTTAGAAGTTTTTCATTTGAAAAACCAGCACTACCCTCCAAGCCAAGCCAACCTGATGATGACTCTGATGATGATTATGAAAAAGTAAGATCAAGCAGATGATCCATTCTAAAAGAATGTTTTTTTTCCTTGCTTATGTGTACCTTTAGGAGCATTTTAAGTGTGTTATTTCAGGAGAAGAGTAACTTTCTGAAAACCTTGTGTAATTTTTTTTTTCATTTCTTTTGAGCTTTAGTGAATGCCTTGATAAGTTATGGAGTTTAAGATTGGATATAAAGGAAAAAGAAGCATAAGGATTGACACCATTTATAATTTTAGATGGTGGCTGTAGCTTATTTACATAACAAGTTGCTAGGGTTTTGAGTTGTCATTGACATAACAGTGATTTATTTTCTTTGTTTTTTTACAGGTTGGGCTGCCTGTTTCAATATTTCTTAATACCTCTGAATCTTTTGAAGTTGAAAGGTAAAATGTGATTTTAAAATAGTTCCACAAGTCCTACAAAAACCTGTACTGAACCATAGTCCAAAGACGATTTTTGCTAACTTGTGTTTAAAGCACACACTAAAATGTTGAAGATGCAAATCACTTTCTAGAGAAGTTAGTTCAGTGCTCTGTATCAATTGACAGATGGGAATGCAGTGTGATTTGGCTCCATCTGGAGGAGGTTGTTTTGCCAGGATGCTGGATAGGACCAGAGAGCCAGATTATCTCTGCTTCACTGCTGGTTCAGGCTAGAACAGTGACTTTCTTTCAGCTGTAATCTACTATTAATTATTACACCCAAAACAGATATTTGTAATGAGAATTTTAAGACTGTAGGTATTTGATTTATCTGAGTGCTAATAACACATCATACACATGAATAATTGTAATATATGTCATTGTTTATCTTTTTAGGATATTTAAAGCTAGTAGCCCACAAGGACGACCACAAAATGGATTGTACTGTATTAGGAACTCATCTACAAAGCCTGGAAAGGTAAATTGCAATTGCTGAGTCTAACCCCCAAAAAAACTTCTTGATTGAGACCTACTGCATTTTATATATGTCAAAGTAATTAACAATTTAGATGTGGTCTTTTCTTAAGAAAATATGAGAGAATTGCTATTGTAATGTCAGTGATTGTAAAAAAAAAAATTTTAGGCTGAATTTGCATTAATTCCTTAATAATACCTTGACTTAGAAGAGGTTGGTAGCTTAGACTGAATACACTGCATTTTTCTTCTTCAAGGTATTGGTTGTATGGGATGAGCCTGCAGGAAAAGTGAGAAACTACAGAATATTTGAAAAGGTTAGTAGCTGCACTATGTATGCATCTTTAGATCTGTGTGTATAAAATGTGTGTGTGTATAGGTAAATATCAGACCTAACAAATTAAAGTCTAAATTTGTTCCCACCTCTGACAGTAAAAAACAGCTGATTTACAAATATCTAGTCTAGGATAAGAGTTCCAGTACTCAGATCTGGGCTTTCTAGTTGCTGTATCATAAATTTCAGCTCCAGTCAAATCCTACGAAATTCCTGAGTTTAATTTGGACTAACTTGTGTGACTGACTAGTTTGTGAAGGAAGAGCTTATTTGAAAGAACTTAGTTCTGATGATGATGTTCTGGCCCTTTTTTCTTTAGACATTGAGCTGGAAACATTACTGTCAACAGTTAATATGTTTTTGTTCTACAACAGGATGGCAAATTTTACCTGGATTCTGACATCATGTTTTTGAACATGGGAAGTTTGGTGGAATACTACAGCACTCATGTCTTACCCAGTCATGACAGCCTGATTCTCAGGTGTCCTTATGGTTACTCTAAGCCAAGGTGACATGACAGCCATGGTTCACGGACACCCTACTGCCCCTGAGGACAGGATTCCTGCCGCTGTTGGGCATCCTGCTGTTTGCACAAAGAAACTGACTCTGTTTCCACCATTTTTTCTCACATGAATTGTTATATAAATTCCATTTAATTAACTTCTGGTAAAACCTTAAAGTCCGGGTCAGTGGATTTTATGATCTTTTCTTTTATGAAGACCTGAACTGATTTTTCTGTGAAAGCTGTCCAGGATACCCACACCTTTTATAAAACTGCTGCTATTACTAACCTCCTTAGAATGTCAAAGATGAACAAATGGACACTTCTAAAAGTATGTCAGAATTTATTTGTGACAGGGAATACTAATACTCTGACTTGGAGGTACTACTTCTAAAGTCAACATCGGTGCTCGACTGAGATATTTTGTATTACTTGTATAGTTAATGTGTAAATAATGAAGATTTCTGTGCAAATTATTTGATTTACTATAGGTAAAGATGATCAGGAAATGAGGCTTTTTTTTGAGCCACCTCTTACATCCTGGTACCTTCTGAGTAGAGTAATCACTATCAGGTACTATCTGCCTGATATGGGTGTGGCATCCCACATAACTTCTTAATGACATGCACTTCAGAGAAGTGTGGAACAATATTGATTTGGCTTTCATGGGAGCCCCATTACCTAGTTCTGAACTGGAAGGGTTCGTGCCACTGCTATTTTTATAGGGTATGAGAAAAGAGAAAGAGCTACTTGAGATTTTGGGGGAAGGGAGCCATATGAATGTTCCAAAATCTGGGTAGCAGTTTTATCTCATGTTGCCATAGTCAAAGGTTCTTTAAAACAAAGCGCAAAAAAACACCTGAAACCATGATTGTGATGCTACTATCAGTCCATAAATCTTTGTGGTCAGACTTTGTAGTGAGCCAATTGCATTATTTTCTGTTTAAGGGCTGAACACACTACCCTAGTCTGCTACCAAGATTTTTTCTCTTATTAAAATTTCTACTCAATTTGTAGTTGCATGCAAAACAAAATCTGTTTTTAATCTATTGTCAGTGATAGGCATTACCCGGGTGCTTTTAACATTTGTTCCCTAATATTTTGGGGACAGGTATCCTAAATGCAAGGGCTTGATATTTATGCCAAAATGACACTGTTCCTGAATTTTAAAATGTAAGAGAAATTAATTTTAAGTAATTCTATTGATCCAAAAATTGTGTCATAATGGTCTCATACTCTAATAATGTTTACAAGACTTGTAATAATAGTAAAAAAATTCTGCCACTCCTGAGACAGGAGAAGGTATCTAGCTTTTACCAGTCTGAATCTGTATTCATAACCTTTTTTTTTCTGTTACCTTTTCAAAATTTATACATGTCCATTTCAATTGTTACCATTAGATGGTCACAGCTTTAAAATCATAACAAAGCCATTACAGAATATGAATTTGCTTTTTATGAAAACTATAAACCAGGATTTAGCCCCTAGGGAATTTTCTTTATTCATCACATGGAATATGAGGATCATACACAGGAATTGAGCAGGAAACTGCCTCCATCTTTTCCAAGAGACACAGACATACACAGTATCAGTCTTTTGATCTCTGTTCCCATTGTAATAGGGCTTATGTGTGTAAAGAATGTGAAATACTTAAAATTCAGATTCTGTTGAATGTTGGATATTTTAAGTTTAATTCTTTTTATTTTAAATTAGTACCCCTGTAGTGCACTACCCTGACATGATCCTCTCTAAATAAGGCCCAGCCAAGACAGCATTTAAAAAACTTTTTTGGCAAATAGTTATATCAGAGTAAGTTCAAGTTTCTTGTAATATTTACATCTAACGGTCTACAGAGTAAGATTTTCTCTGTCTGGGAATAATTGACTTCATTGTGTCATGACAATCATATTTATAGTATTCACTCTTTGAGGCCCTATTCAGATATTTGATTGTTTTCTCAGCCTTACACTCAGAAGATTTTTAAACATCCATTTAAACCATTACAAGCTCTTTACTTGTGCAATAAAAGAGTTGCAAATATGTAAATTTTTGTATTAATTCCATTTTGTATCTAAATGTATAGATTTCTGTGATTGATAAATTTTTGATGCCAGTCCACCTCATTTTGTGCAGTTGTCTCATTTCATGGGAGTGTGTTCTAATGCTTTTGTTTGTAGCTGGGTTCTTCTAATAGCAGAGGTAGAGGAATTAATTTTCAGTGCCCCTAAGAAGCAAATCTTCATGTTCTAAACAAATCTGCAGTCATTTAGACTCTCTCTTGCTCCCACATACTAGTCTAGTCTGTTTTATAACAAATCAGGTGAGTTTCTGGTGTTTGTAGGGAGGAAAGACACAGCTAGAACGCATGGCTCAGTATGTCTCCTGTATTTCTCACTAATCTGCCTCTCCTCATTCCTTCACCACAAAGCAGCCTTTGCATCTACAACCTGCTGCAAGCTCCTTAGCTTTAAAATAGTTTGTGGGGAATTGTAAAAGCAGCATTTGATGCGCATAAAGAATGTAGTTCATGAGTTTTGTAATATCCAAGTCAAAACCATTGATGTTACTTTGAAAATAGCCTTGCCTTTTGGGACTGAACCTCCAGATAAAAGTATTACAGGTCATATTTGGATGGGCACCTCCAGATAAAAGTATTACAGGTCATATTTGGATGGGCATTGTTGTTCTAGGGGGAAAAAAAAAGAGTGCTTCTGAAAATAAAACAAGAGACAGTCAATGGCAGAATGTTATAAAAAGTGAACCAATATCCTAACAATTTTTCTGTGATAATGCTTTGTGTCAGCAGTCAGGCATTCCCAACAATTTTTCTGTGATAATGCTTTGTGTCAGCAGTCAGGCATTCCCCACCTCAGAACTTCAGTTTTCACAACAATATGAATAAGTAGCAAGAGTATTTGTGGCCTCAGGTGGCTTCATCCTTTGGAGCTTGCAAATGGGTGCTGAAGATTTTGGAAGCTGAAAGTGTGATTATGTAGAATTTGGGGACATCTGCTGGTCAGCCTATTCCACACAGGGATCCAATCAACTGGAGTCCAGCAGCTGAGCATGTGTGTGGAAGTCATTTGGGACAAATCAATCTTAAGTGACTTCAGATAGAAGCTATAGATCAAAGCTAACTTCAAGTGGAAACTTAATAGGCTGGGTCTTTTGAAACTTAAGAGTCTTCTGGCTCATCTGTCTCAAATAAGTAGCAATACTGTTTAGCATATTTGCTCATCTGAATATCTTCTAACCTAAAGAACAAAGAGATAAATTAATCCTTCTGTGTTTAAATTATTCTTAAAACTTACTTTGAGGTAGAATTTACATAATGGACGCCTGAGCACCACCTAAATTTATCCATGCTGTGAAGCATTAGGCAGCTGTTCTGAACATTAAATACTTCACCTAGCAGCAAGCAAATTGCATGATGTTGCAATAGTTTCCATCTTATGAAATACTCACCTCCTTGAAGTCAAGGAGGGTTTTTTTTCTAATAGTGTGATTGTGTGAGATGCCCATAATTACAGACCCCTACGTGAGAAAGCTTATAGTCCTCTTACTATACTCGAAGTACCAAAATATCAAATACCAAATGCTACTAGAACTTCAAGGCAGAGAGCATTTGAGCTCACTTTAAAACTGGATGGGCTGAAGTGATTATGTTCAATAGGCTTCAGGTATGGAATAAGCCTTGTAGCACAGCCACATCCAAATCTATTCCTTCAGGGCTCCCATTCCTGTATCTTAATTACAGGATGGTCATTACTATCCCTCACTTGTATCTGCCTCCTTACAGTATTTATTTCCCAGGAAGTGGGTAATTCAACCTCGCAGGCTGATGACATGGTCCAGAGAGGCATGTAATCTTGGAGATATCAAAGAATCGTTTTTAATGTAATTCTACTCACAGATATCTCTCCTGGAGCTGGTTTGCACAGAAATGACAGTGATAAAAACCATTTGTAGGATTAGATCACTGGATATATAAAAAAAGGGAAAAGCATTTAACTGTTTTTTGAGTTACCACCTTCTCTGCCTTTTAACAACCCTTTCATACAAGCTGCTGCTGGGTACTATCCCAGCACAGCTGTTTCTTGGACTGGCTGATGTGCAGTGAAATTCTGGCCTGGACAGCCTTTTGCATGGCTGTAGTTTTGCACCTGTACTGAAGACAAGTGATCTGAAAGGGCCAGTAGAGCAGCACAGAAAACAGGAGTGTCTGTCCCATGGAAAGTTATTAAAGGGTTTTATTACAGGGCCAATATGGAAAGGTGCTCCAGCACCTTGGCTTCACAAGCTGTCTTAGGCTTCATTGATTATGTTGTACTTTAATTTACTTTAATTTGTACTATGCTAACATCCATGCTGATTTATTTTTCCAAGAAAATGACAGCCACGCCTTAACCATGGGAGTACTGCTGAAAATGTGCCATTTAAAAATTAAATGTGGCTTTAGGGAATTAGAAATTTGATATTCTAAAATTACAAAGCTTCTCTCAAGATTAATTAACTTTCTCCTGTATATAATAATTAAAATAGTAACTACCTTAAAATATTTTTCTTATGCTTCTCAGAATTCCTCATTGAACTTATCCTGATATATTTTTCCTTTTTCTGTTTTACCCTCCTAAGTCTGCTTGTAGTTCTAAAGTTAGTTCAAATGTTCTAACTTCTTTTAGTGGCATTTTTCCTTCTTCTACTATTAAGGATGAAGATATTACAGAGCAGCTAAAAACAATTTCAGCTGCTCTAGTCACACTGGAATTCATGTAGAAGCAACTAGCAGAGAACATACTACTAGAAGGTGGATGATACTCAGGAAGTCATAGATGTTGCAATTAAATAAATTAGTTTTACTTGGAAAAGCATTTTGGAAAAACAAGCCCTAACCTTGACAAAGAATATTGTAACATTAAAAGAGAATGTTGGTTGCTGGAGTTCCTTGGTGTAGAGCAATCATTGCACCTTTGCTTCTGTTTAACTGCAACTGCTGTTAACCAGCTTGAAGCATGTAGCTCCATTTACATTTCATCTCAATCATGTATAAAAGTATCCCTATGTCCCCTGAGCATAAAGTCAATATTTTTCAAACTTAAAGCCAAAGTGGCCTCTCAGATGAAGATTGTATAAAATTTGGCAACATTTACCATCAGCCTGTTCCAGCTGCTCTACCCTTTCACCCACCTGCTCTTTCGGTTCTCTTAATTTTTATTTTTTTCCAGCTCAAACAAACCTTGGATGTATTTTTGTTTGGTTGTGGAGAGAGATAAAAGTAGACCAGAATACACTTTTTTACTACATGTAATCTTTCTA